AATCTACTTCGCTGATGGAAATCATATCTCTATACTTTGTTGATACGGTAACATTTTAACGTTTTAATTTAATTTAAATTATTAGTAATAATTAGTTGATTTATTTAATGCATGATTATTAGATTAAGAATTAAATATCTCGACACTTTGCTGATACGGTAACATTTTAACGTTTTAATTTAATTTAAATTATTAGTAATAATTAGTTTATTTATTTAATGCATGATTATTAGATTAAGAATTAATTTTGTAATTATTTTTAGGAGAATGACCGTGTATTAGATCCTTTTATTAGGAATCTTAAGTTAGTGATACACAGTCGTGTCTTGCGTATTTAGTAGAGGCTGGATTCGGTTACATAGGTAGATATCAGGGTCACTGTAAGATAGAGCCAGACCTGATTTCTGCCTTAGTAGAGCGGTGAAGGCCAGAGACCCACACATTCCATCTTCCGTGCGGAGAGTACACGATCACGCTTGAGGATGTTTCTATGCACCTGGGGCTTCCGGTGGATGGAGATGTGATATCGGGGATAGCTTCCGGTTTTTGGACTACTTTGTGTCGGGATAGTCTAGGACGTGTCCCGAAAAATTTTATCGGAGGTAGGATACCGTTAAATTGGTTAGATGCCAATTTTCGGGAGTTGTGCGCAGACGCCTCTGAGGATGAGGTTAAGATGTATGCATGGGCATGCATACTGCAACTGATAGAATGGTTGCTGATGCCGGACAAATCGCGCAACCTAGTTCACTGCATGTGGTTGCGACATCTTATCGACTTTCGTCTCGCCGGATCATTCAGTTGGGGCTCGATAGTTTTGGCTTTGCTGTACAGGGAGATGTGTGGAGCCACTGACTACAGGCGTAATGCTATCGGTGGATGTCTCCTGCTGCTGCAGTCTTGGGCATGGTATCGATTGCCTTTTTTATGTCCCGTTGTGAAGAACCCATTCATATTTCCACTACTTCTGAGGTAATTATAAAATTGATTTTGTATATTAATAATTTTATACATCGTATAACAAATTTTTTCCTTGAATAGGTGGTCTACTGATAGGAAAAATCATCAGGAGCTACCTGATGATTTAGAAAAAATTAGGGTGCTAATCGAACAGAAGGCTGGCACACATGTATGAATTTTAATGTTTAAAAATCGATTTTAGATTATAGTTATATAATTAGATTATTATTTTGATAAAAATTATATATTATTTGTTTTAGTTTGAATGGGTGTCATATTCTACTGATGATGCGAGGGCGGCGATCCCACCTGAGTTGAGGGGTCCATCAGATGTTTGGATGGCGATGATCCCTCTGATCTGTTATGCGACCGTCGAGTGGCACTTCACTGATCACGTGCTCCGACAATTTGGTTGTTTTCAACCAATTCCGGAAGCACCTCGCAATATGGATGAGTTGCATAGCTTAGATAGATGCGGCAAGACAGATATAGATTGGTTGGCGAGGCATCATGAGTGGTTCGTGTTGTGGGAGGATCGACATCGGTGCCTTCCCCGTAGAGAGCCCATTTTTTATGACCTCTTGATGTATGCTGATGGTTATTATGAGTGGTTCAACAGTAACGGGAAACCGTTTCTGCTTCCCGAGGATGCACGAGGGCAGACTTTTCTGCGAAGTCGACAGAGATGTGATCCGACACAACAACATCGTCCCCCGACTCGTGGACGGAGAGCATGTGCTTCCGGTTCATCCTCAGCTGCACCAGCATGACCTTCACAGTAGCCACCACAGCCATTTATGATGCCACCATCACCTTTTCATTACTAGATGTCGCCTTCACCTGGTTTTATGACCCCGCCGCCGCCACCGTCACAGATGACCCCTCCTGGAGGCTATTATGAGTCTATGTTTGTAGATCTAACTTGGGGTTCATATACTGGATATTTGGCGGGTTCAACCTCATCACCCATGGTCGCAGCACAGACACCTCCTGTACAGTTTTCATACTCAGCGATGTCTGGGTTTTCTTAATTTTCCCAGTTTTCACACTCAGCATTTTGTTTTGCCAACCAAGCTTTTTTATAGGAGACAGTGTACCCATACTGCGATTGTATAGCTGAAATCAACACTGCAGCAGCTATATGAGAGCTTGCTTTTACCATGGGCATGATGGCTTGGCATATCACTTCAGAGTCCAAGTTGGGATGATCTTGGTTGACCTCTCCAGCACAACATGTGTGAGGACCGTTGTATATGTTAGTTCACATATGTTGTTTTTCCTCTTCCTTTTCGATACGCGAACTATCCCAATTGCATCCATTTTCGCGTAGGACACAGTAGCATACATATTTTTCGGTCGTGGATCGGTTGACTCTGGACTGAATAGAATTACGGATATTGTAATTTTTATAGCCATCACCGTTTCTTCTTTGCTTGAGAACTCCATGCCTAAAGATAATTCACCATTATTTATTGATGAGTAATATTCATAGTCACCGAGATGAGGCATATCCGCAAATTCTAGCCCGTACATTGCACCATAATCAGCTTCATACATGTGTGTAGGAGGGTCAGTTTGTGTCATATTTCCTGGAACTTCATCATCATCGGAGTTGAATTGCGGTGATTATGGGTGAATGAATAGTCCAGTCTCAGCATCTGCACCAGGTTCACGAAGCGATTCTTCTGGTGGAGATGATGGTTCCTCCATGCTCTACACATTTAGGTCGAAGAACCTACTACTTGCACGCCTTCCCCTTGAACTAGAAAGCATATCGACATTGAGATCGAAAAAGTTCGCAGTCGAATGCCTCCCCCTAGAGCTTGAAGCCATCGTGTCAAATGGAAACTGCACAGATGGTTGCATCAATGACATCTCCACATGGTCAAAGAAATTTGCAGATGAATGCCTTCCCCTTGAACTGGACACAGTGTTGCCATACGAATTGTTCGTGGACCCACCTCGGTATATATCGTAAGGAGTTACGGATGAATGTCTCCCCATTATGGCATTAAAATCATTACACATTACTGTAGTCGGGCTCTCAACTTGATCAACTTGTTCAACCAGCCCATAGTGTGAGCTTAAAGATTGACCCCGAACATCACGCACTTGAACAAAATGTGCATATATCTCAATAGCGACGTCTGAATAATTACTTTGAGCTTCAACCATCATTTGAACATCATCATTGTTCGAAAGTTCGAACGCTGTATAAGTTAATGGCAACAATGATGTTGGAAATCTGTACTGCAATGACGACATTCTTCTACTACTTCCAACATGAATCTTCATCGAAATCTTCGTTATCAGCTCTTCAAGAGTTATGTTTCTCTTGAATGATATTTTAACACGCTCATTTGATACGAAAACAACGTCGGTTTCATCTTCTCGAATTTCACCATCATAATAAACAATAGCTGAAAGTCGCGCCATTCTTTGAGTTTAAAAGTGCGGCAATGTTATATCTGTAAAAAAAAATAACTGAAACAAACCTGATTAAATAAATTATATATGAACGAAAATATAACACAAAATTTTTTTTACACATCAACGTAAATAATATAATTTTATATTATTACCTGCACCGCAAAACTATTTCGACGTATGCTTCCGCTTTTCAATTTTACAAACATAAAAATTAATTGAAAATAATTAGTATAATATTTTTTCAAATAATGATAATAAACAATAAGTATAATTAAAAAGTTATAACAAAATTACCTTATAACGAAAAATCTCACGAACTTCTAAATCAAATATGAGAAGATTGCCAGAATTATTACTCGTTGACGGAATTGTTGTATTAATTTATAAGTTGAGAAGAGAGATGTGAGGAGATGTGAGAACCGGATGAGTGTATTTATAAATATATAAGAAGCGGTACCTGCACCGCGTTATATGTAATTATTATATAGCGCGGACCAGGGACCGCGTTAAATATAATTTTGGTACGGAGTATAGCGCGACCACTGATCTGCGCTATACCCCTACGTGGCGTATAGCGCGGAGCAGGGGGCGCGCTATACTCCACGTGGCGCCAAATCAACATATAGCGCGATTCAGGGGGCGCGCTTTACTGCATCAGGTGTTAGATCGAAAAATATAATCTGACCGGTGTTAGATCGATAAATATACCGATCACCGATATTTTTTCGAGAAAAATACATCTATTTTGATAAATAATATTTTAAAGAATAAAAAGTGATGACTTCTTAGAAGTTTATGGTCAATTTTAGATCTTATATTATTTAGATATAAAGATTTTTAAGTATTTAATATAGTATTTTAAACAAGTGTTTATGGAGTGATAAAACATAAAAATAATACATGCACGTTATCTTATCGACTCGTGCTCATGTAATTGCATGTCTTTTTGATTGGATCGAGAAGATGACTATAGTTAAAAATTTTAAATTATTATATATTTTATATATTTTATATTATTTATTGATAATTTATTTTTTTCATTTTAATTTTATAAGTTTATTGTTCATTAAAATTATAGAAATTCAACATAACATAAAATTATACATTGATTTTTATGTGTCTTTGACACTCATTGTGTATTTTTTTTTTGAATAAATATATATATATATATATTTCATATTATAATTATTTTCTCTTTTAGTCTAGAATATATCCACAATACTGTTGCGTAGATAAAAGAGACATAACATGTCCCATAAACCACAATTTTAGAGACGATTTTACATTCTGTCTTTATCTTACATGATAAAAAATACTAATATAAATTTAACCTAAAATATAAATGTTTTTTTAAAATTAATTTTTGTTTCGGGTGATATTATAGTTAAAAAAAACAAAAACATTACATTCGATTAATGGAGAAAAGAAGATTTTTAAAGCGGATTAATAATTCAGTTAATGTCGACAGACAAAAACACCCTTGGCACCAGTTCAAAATTGGAAACCCTCACAAGGGTGAAAAAGACCTTTAGTTTCTTCTTCTAGTGATGGTTGCCTGTAATTATTGTTTGATCCTTTTAGTATTTAAATCCTCTATGCCAGCACCAAACTCGATCCTCTCACTCTCTCAGTCTCACTCTGACTCTGATCAATGGCAGAAAAATCGAAAAACACTCTACTCTTCTCCTCTTCCATTTTTCTCCTCATCTCTTTTTCTTTCGCTGTTTCTGACCCTGTACAGCTGCAAACCCTATTGCCCCGCCCTCTTCCTTCTCCGCCCACTTTATCATGGACAGACTCCGAGCCCGAATCCGATTCACTCACGGAAATTGCCGAACTCAACACTGTTAGTTCCAATACCACTCTGGAAATGCACTTAGAATTGCACCACTTAGATTCTTTTTATTCCGAAGAGATACCGGAGCGACTTTTCGACCTTCGACTGCAGCGCGATGCGCTCCGCGCTGAAACGATCTACTCCCTGGTTTCGATTGCCGTTGCGCGTGACCCTCCACGCGCGGGAAGCCGTTCTGGGTTCAGTAGCTCCATTGTATCCGGACTTGCTCAAGGTAGTGGAGAGTACTTCACGCGCCTAGGGGTTGGTACTCCGCCGAGGTATCTTTATATGGTGCTCGACACCGGTAGCGACGTCGTTTGGGTTCAGTGTTCGCCTTGCAAGAATTGCTACTCTCAGACTGACCCGATTTTCGATCCGACTAAATCACGCTCTTTCTCTGGTATTCCCTGCGGGTCGTCGCTTTGCCGTAGCTTAGATTCATCTGGATGTAACCAGCGCCGGATGTGTCTTTACCAAGTATCTTACGGCGACGGCTCGGTTACTTTCGGCGATTTCTCCACCGAAACGCTGTCGTTTAGAGGAACCAGAGTGGGAAGCGTGGCGCTCGGTTGTGGTCACGACAACGAGGGCTTGTTCGTCGGCGCAGCAGGTTTGTTAGGCCTTGGTCGGGGGAGATTATCATTTCCTACCCAAACCGGACGCAGGTTCAACCGGAAGTTCTCTTACTGTTTGGTCGACCGTTCCGCTTCTTCTAAACCCTCTTCCATGATTTTCGGTGACGTTGCCATTCCCCGAACCGCCGTGTTTACGCCTCTGCTAAGGAACCCAAAGCTCGACACGTTCTACTACGTGGAACTGCTTGGGATCAGTGTTGGCGGGACACGTGTCCGCGGCGTCACGCCTTCTCTGTTCAAAATGGATCAAGCTGGCAACGGAGGAGTCATTATCGACTCCGGCACGTCTGTCACCCGCTTGACCCGACCCGCTTACATCTCAACGAGGGATGCGTTCCGTATTGGGGCTTCGAAATTGAAGCGGGCACCCGATTTCTCGTTGTTCGATACATGCTTCGACTTGTCGAGGCAGACTACCGTTAAGGTACCAACGGTAGTGCTGCATTTTAGAGGAGCCATGGTGTCATTGCCGGCGACGAATTATATGATTCCGGTGGATAGAAGCGGGACCTTTTGCTTTGCTTTCGCGGGTACCATGAGCGGTTTGTCCATAATTGGAAACATACAGCAGCAGGGTTTCCGGGTCGCATTCGATTTAGCGGGTAACCGAATCGGGTTTGCTCCCCGTGGATGCGCTTAAACAGGGGTATGGTTATTTTAATCAGTTTTAACTATGGTTAGGGATAAATCTGGTTGCTTGCCTCTATTTTAATGTAAGAAGAAACAAAACCTTGGATGGATTTGAATGAGAGAGGAGAAGAGCGGGTAGCTTGTCGGATGAATCAGTGTTGTTTTTTTGCGGCCCTTTTAACGTTTGTGTTCATTGCAAGTCGGTGACTGCATTTTCCCGTGTTTTGGATTTAACGCTGACGCTTTGCAAAATACAAATGTAAAGGAAGCATCCATTTCAATGGATCAAAGCTGGCATTGTAGTAAGTTTGAGGGTGTCATTCATTAGATTAAGGTGGGGCTATCGTATTTGAAAAAGGATATGCTGGTGAGGCTGTAGCCAGTAGTACATTAGAAGTTTAATAAGCGAGGTCCAAAACAATCTCTATGTAGGAGCTCAAGTAAACCAGGAGGAGGTGAAGACTCTTCATAAATAGCAAGGGTCCACTTATTATGGTATCCACCTTCATGATCATGATTCGTGTGTTATGTTACAAAATGCAATTTTCTCTTGACCAAAGAACCAGGCCCCACCAAGTGAGATATTTATAAATTTCATGCTTTTTCCATCTCAATGGCCCGGTCACCGCTGGTTTAACAACGATTACTTAATTTCCATTAAAAGTCCGTCAATTTGGTATTTTTTTTTACGGTACTGTTAAATCAAATGGATCTATCAAGTTAAAATAACAACTGGATAATTGTATTCTATTATAAAATAAGAACTAATTTATAATAAAGGTTTTTCATCATGAATATTAGCTAATTATATGATCGAGCAAGCTCGACCAGTAACTTACAAAGTATATGTGTAACAAAATTTATGATTCAGATACTACCAGCACTCGGTGCTTTGAAAATAGTAGCAAAATATTAAAAAGAGTATCCTCTGACTGTACAATGAAAAACTTTTGTTTTATAAAGAAGATTTTATCAACTTTCCTACTTAGCGTCTTGCCTAGAACATTAAACATAATGCCCGTTAGTAAAATTCAATATAATATAACATGTTGGGAGAAATTCTGGGCAACAAAAAGGTAATACACACTAAAAAAATCACTCCTGAGCAGTTGAGTCTAAGCGTTTTAAGTGGTTGATTCTAAAACCCAGGCCATATATATTGGTCCCATTATTGTAGTTAGGCTCAAAATGAGTTTTGGGCTGACCTCTGACTGCCCATCCCTGTATATCAGGTGTAACATTCAAAAGATGTGCTAATAGTATAGGGATACAGCGGTTAAGTTCTTTGTGGACATTCTAAAAGACTAAGGGCGGTTTGTTTACTGTTGAATGGAATTATTTAGTACTGAATGTTGAACCGTTCAACATTCAGTGTATTTGATTCTCATCTCTGAATGAATACTATGCTGAATGAAACAACAAAACTGAATGATTCAGCATTAAAGTACATTTTGAATCATTAAGCACCCGATATTTTATCATAATACATATTTTTTCACATGTTGTCTTATTAAACAATCATATCTTATAATATAATAAATCATTATGAAGGTAAAAATGAAAATATTCATAATTCAGATTGTACATTCAGAACAATTATCAAATATCATGTCACATTCAGAGCCAATTCATACAGAGCTTTTGAATCATTCAGGCCATTGAATCATTCAACGCTTAATCATTTTATTTTATCAAACATCCCCTCAGATTCAAATAATGTTGATAAATAATTCATATATTTCCCACTGGTTGTCCAAAGTCCGAACAAGGTAGGGTTATTTCCAGCTGAGCCATTTTCTCTTTACATTTTACATTGATATGAACATATTTAAAATATCAACAAATATCCTAATCCATGGCCGTAGGCCCGACAAGTGGCTCACACAACACAATTATGCGCTCGATTAATATACCACACTTGAGAGCAGGATTAAGCTCATCTCTTTAGCCTTTGAGACGCTGGCTGGCTGGCCGGCCCTACTACTCTAAATTCCCATCCAAGGAACAGGCGGCAAGTGGCAGCAACCAACTTCCTTTTGTTAAAATCTTGAAAAGGGTTCTCGTCTCTCATGATTCTATCTTTGTTTACAATTTTCGATCCTTTTTTTAACCATGCTTTCTCTTTAACGCCAAACCGTTGGATGTTGATCAAGTGTCACAGAAACGTTAGACGGTGACACCTCTCTTCTCTCTCTATGGAACCAACGAAGAAAAGCACAAATAAAGAGAGGTTGTAGTATTGACTCACTTCATTTTTCTTCTGTATTTCATTCTTTTCTTTTATTTTTCTCATCAAACAAAGTGAACCCAAAGTTTTAATCTTTCCAAAAAGGAATTATTCTCATCGGAAAATAAGGGTCAAATTTGATAAGTTTTTCATCTCCTTTCCCATGGAGTTTGATGGCATCGATTGTATGACATCTTCGGATGTGATTGATGATGATGACGATGATGAGATTCATCATCATCATCATCATCAGTTGTCTTCATTGTTGAAGTCCCATAGCAACAATGGAAACAGCAACGGTATTGTGTCATCAGCGGTTCAGTCGAGCACCACCAGTGTCCATGAACTTCTTGAATGCCCTGTTTGTACCAATTCAATGTACCCTCCTATCCATCAGGTCAGTATTTAATTCCAATATTTTTTTTACCATCTTGGGGTGCTGTAATGGTTTAAATTTTGCTTCTTTTTCTTGGTTTTAAATATTAATTTATTGGTTTTGAGTGATTGATCTCCTTTGTCGAATCTGTGCTATTTTAGTGTTAGAATTAGGACAATTGATTGGAAAAATTTTATGTGTTGGAAGATCGCATGAGTCTGAACTCTAAAGTTCCATCCTTTGGGAATCTGATTTTTAGAGTGTCTGTAGTTCGGTTTTGCTGGTTTTACTGCAGAATTGCAGTACAATAATCCTTTCCATATAATGATGAAATGTATAAAAGCATTTCCATGAGTAGGAGAAAAGGAGAACATAGAAGAAGATGGAGTAATCAAATGTTAGGAATCAACAGTGCATTTGTTTGTTTCCATGACAGTTTTTACTTGAGTATATTGGAGAATAAAATCATATATAGATGTTTTTTTTAAATTTGATGAATTTAACAGAAAAAGCATTTGAATATTGGCTTAATCTACAAAAGTAAGACATTCTGGATTTTACATTCTCCTATGCTCTGTGAATCTAGCTGCCCCTAATGGATTCTCTACTTATTCCACAGTGCCACAATGGGCATACCCTCTGTTCAACCTGTAAAACAAGGGTACACAACCAGTGCCCCACTTGTAGACAGGAGCTTGGTGATATCAGGTGTCTAGCACTGGAGAAAGTAGCCGAATCACTCGAACTGCCTTGTAAATATACGTCAGTTGGATGCCTGGAGATCTTTCCTTATTACAGTAAACTCAAACATGAGGCCTTATGTAACTTTAGGCCATACAATTGCCCGTATGCTGGATCGGAATGCGCTGTTGTTGGTGGTATTCCATTCCTTGTTGCTCATCTAAGGGATGACCACAAGGTAGACATGCATTCTGGATGCACATTCAATCATCGTTATGTGAAGTCTAATCCTCGTGAAGTAGAAAACGCCACATGGATGTTAACCGTAAGCGCACTCTTCTTAAGCACCTTCATCCTGATTATGAACTGAACTACAATTAATACTGTAATCTATGGTGTAGGTATTCCACTGTTATGGCCAGTACTTCTGCCTCCATTTTGAAGCCTTCCAGCTCGGGATGGCCCCTGTTTATATGGCATTCCTTCGTTTCATGGGTGACGAAGTCGAAGCCCGCAACTACAGTTACACGTGGAAGTTGGGGGCAATGGAAGGAAACTAATTTGGGAAGGCACACCAAGAAGCATAAGAGATAGCCACAGAAAGGTCAGGGATAGCCATGATGGCCTAATTATACAGCGTAACATGGCGCTTTTCTTCTCTGGAGGAGATAGAAAAGAGTTGAAGCTGCGAGTAACCGGACGGATATGGAAAGAACAACAGAACCCAGAAGGTGGTGCCTGCATACCCAACCTTTGCAGTTAAAAAACAGAAGCTCTGCTGGATCACTGATGCACACCCCATAATAACATTGATGCTCTTTAATATTCTTAGCAGCCTGCTGTTAGTGTTGAGGATTCTTGAATTCTGTATGAATATTGGAGGCTTAAGTCTTTTCTCAGTTGTCAAAAAACAAACCGTGCTGTAAGGTATTGAGAAATGCAATCAAAAACGAGTTTCTCTATCAATTCCTTCCCTCCATGAGAAAGTGTAGCAAATGACCACAAGTCCACAACTATGGATTACATCGAATACGGACGCCGTTTTAAGTTCCAAAGAGGTTTTAGCATTCTCCCAGAGTTTCCACAAAACCTCTCTCCACTCTACGAAGTAGAAACTACGTTTCTTTAATGTTATCAGCAGTAATCAGAAAATTCTCCTTTTTCATTTTTTATCCTGAAGGTCGAATTTTTCGTTTGATGGAGCTTCTCAATTCTCCACTCTCTAAATCCCCCTGTTTTTCTCCAGCTTCTCATCTTTTACTCCCAGATTTTCCATCAGAACTTCCAATAATAAGCCCCTGAATAGATTACTCAAAGCACCATCATTTCCGTTGAGTTTACCGCCTCACTGGACCAATGTTTCAGCTTGGTCATTTTGGACGGACAACGAAAAACTGCTTGGTCATCATCAGGTGTGACAGAATCCAACTCCTGATTTTCAAAACCCAAATGAAGGTTTAGAATATTTTGAGAATTTGAATTCTGGTAGGACCAAACAGAGTGATGTAGATAACGGTGCAGGCAACGCGTTTAGGTGACTTTGTTTTAAATTAGAGAATTGGGTTAAGCAATATAAGAAAAGACACTGAGTTTTTGGTCAATGGGTCGGATCCTATTTTCACGGCTTTGGAAGATTCGGAAGGGAATGTAAAAAGCTTGTTAAAAAAAACTTGGAAGGGAATGTAAAAGTGGTTACAGTCCATGAGGATGAGATTCTGAAAAGACATGAATTTGAAGACAAGAAAGTGACTTCTGAAGTTATATATGCAAAGAAGTTAGCTAGAGAGATGGAAGTGGGTGGAAATGTGATTCCAAGGACAAGTTTTGTAGGCGAGTTTGTTGTTCCTGGTGAGGAGTCTGGTTTAATGAGTGGAATTGGTCGGGTTATTCTTCATCCTGGGTTTATCCCAAAACTCTCAAGTGTTGGAACTTTGGTTCTAAGTGGTTTGATCGTATTTTGGGCGGCGAAGTTGTTTGTTCGTGGAAAAAAGGAGGCAGAATACACACAATTGGAGAAAGAAATATGAGAAAGTTAAAAAGTCTAGGAAGGGGAGAGAGAGATTGGAGAAGGGTAGTGTTGAAGTTGTTCAAGCATCCGTAGAGCTGTTGAGGCGTTTAGTGTGTCGTTTCAAAAACCACTGCTGGATAAGCAAGAACTTAGAATAATATGCTAAAGGCAAATGCTGCAATGGATAAATTGGCATTGCCGGATTC